TTGCAGTGCCGGTGCAGGGCGGTGCAGTTGCGGTCCAGTGCGGTGCAGTGCGATGCAGTGCGGTGCAGTGCGGTTCAGTGCGGTGCAGTGCGGTCAGTGCGGTTCAGTGAGGTGCAATGCGGTGCAAGGCGGGGCAGGAAAGTGCAGGAGGGTGCAAAGTGGTGCGGGGAACGGGGGACAGTACCAGGAAGTATGGAGGGCCGGGGCAGGCGCGACGGGGCCGGGCAGGCGCGACGGGGCCGGGCAGGCACGTCGAGGCCGGGCAGGCGCGACGGGCCGGGCAGGCGCGACGGGGCCGGGCGGCTGCGACGGGGCCGGGCGGCTGCGACGGGGCCGGGCGGCAGCGACAAGGCCGGGCGCAGCTACGAGGCCGGGCGGCTGCGACGGGGCCGGGCGGCTGCGACGGGCCGGGCGGCTGCGACGGGGCCGGGCGGCTGCGACGGGGCCGGGCGGCTGCGACGGGGCCGGGCGGCAGCGACAAGGCCGGGCGGCAGCTACGAGGCGGGCGGCAGCGACAGGGCCGGGCGGCAGCGACGGGGCCGGGCAGGACACAGCAAGGCCGGGCGGGGCGACGGGGCCGGGCGGGCGCGACGGGGCCGGGCAGGTGCGACAGGGGCCGGGCAGCTGCGACAGGGGCAGGGCGGGCGCCACGGGGCCGAGAGGCCGCGACAAGGCCGAGCTGGGGCGACGGGGCCGAGCAGGGGCGACGGGGCCGAGCAGGGGCGACGGGGCCCAGGAGGGTGGATACGGGCCCAGGGAGGAGCGCGGCAGGGCCCAGGAGGGGCGCAACAGGCCCAGGAGGGGCGCTACGGGCCCAGGAGGGGCGCAATGGGGGGGCCCAGGAGGGGCGCGGCGGGGCCCAGGAGGGGCGCAATGGGGGGGGGGGCCCAGGAGGGGCGCTACGGGCCCAGGAGGGGCACTACGGGCCTAGGAGGGGCGCGACGGGGCCTGGGAGGGGCACGACGGGGCCCAGGAGGGGCACTACAGGGCCCAGGGAGGGCGCGACGGGTCCCAGTAGGGGCGCTACGGAGCCCAGGAGGGGCGCGACGTGGCCTGGGAGGGGCGTGATGAAGCCCTGGAGGGGCGCTACGAAGCCCAGGAGGGGCGCGACGAGGCCCAGGAGGGGCGCTACGGGGCGCTACGGGGCCTGTGAGGAGCGCGACGGGGCCCAGGAGGGGCGCTAAGGGGCGCGACGGGGCCCTGGAGGGGCGCTACGGGGCGCGACGGGGCCCTGGAGGGGCGCTACGGGGCCCAGGAGGGGCGCGAAGGGGCGCGACGGGGCCCTGGAGGGGCGCTACGGGGCCCAGGAGGGGCGCTAGGGGGCGCGACGGGGCCCTGGAGGGGCGCTACAGAGCCCTGGAGGGGCGCGACGGGGGCCTGGAGGGGCGTTACGAAGCCGTGGAAGGGGGGCGCGACGGGGCCTGGAGGGGCGCTACGAGGCCTTGGAAGGGGCGCGACGGGGCTAGGGGGAGGGGTCGCGACTGGGCTCAGGAGGGGCGAGGCGAGGCTAGGAGACGCGACGGGAGGAGCGGAAGCGGTAGGTGGGGGGGGGGGGGGGGGGGGGGGGGGGGGGTCGAAACCTATTTGTGATACCATATCAAACCTAGAATTGAATAATGTGAGAGAGAGAGTACACAAACATATACCTAAATGTTGTACTCTCTAGAAGGTGACCCTATACAGTCTATACAAACATGATAACTACACATGTTTGACAGTGGGTTCATACCCTTACATGAAAGACTACTCCAAATCCTATCCAGAGGCCTGGTGGGGGGGGGACCTAACCTACGCATGATACCATGTTAGAATACTAGAATGAATAGAAACAAGGGTGAACAAGGGAATATAGGGTTGAAGTTGTACTCTCCAAGAACATACACCTATCTAGCCTATAACTTCTACATACTAAGATATGTATAAGTTGACACTATTTAGCCTATTATAACATATACAAATATGTTTGACAGAAGAGGGAGGGAAGGAGGGATAAGGGAGGAGCGTACGGGAAGAGCTGGTCAAGCTAAGGCAGGGCAAATACTGGGTGGAGGACAAGGTGGGATCAGTAAGAGGGAAGAGGGGCTGGTTGGTACTGGGAAGGGAACAGGGACAAGAAGGGAGGACCGAAAAGTAGGAGCTGGGCAAGCATGGCACGGCAGGGCAAATACTGGATGGCGAACCAGAGGTGATCAGCAAGAGGCGAGAGGGGCAGGCTGGTTGGTTTTGTGTCCTCCCTCTCCACCTTCACGCTTCACTCCTCTCCTGCTCCCATTCCCCTTCTGCCTTCTCCCACCCCATTCCCTCAATCCTAGACTTAGCCCTTCACCCACCTCTCCTGCTTGTCCTTCCGCTTCCCCTCACTGACTCCCTACTGGGTGCGCTGCTTCAGAGTCTGCTGGCCCACTCCACTCTCCCAACCCTTTTCCAACCTTCCTCTCTCTCACGACCCCCCATTCCCATCACACCGAGTAACCCCACCAGCTCCCCCCGCGAGCCTGCCCCCCCCCCCCTCCCCCCCCGCGCGGTTGAACCTAATTTTTAAACTGTACCCTCTCCCAATCCAACCCCATTCCCCAAACACACCCACCACTCCCCCACCCCTTCAACCCTCCTCTCATCCCCTCGCCCACAGCACCCGCTGCAGTCCACTCGGCCGCTCTCCCTGCAGTCAGGGAAAGTGCAGGGGAAAGGGAAGAGAGCGAAGGGGAATACAGGGAAAGATTGGGATGGGAGAGAGGTTTAGGTGAAGCATGGGAGAGAGGTTTAGGTGAAGCATGGGATGGGAGCGAAGGGGAATACAGGGAAAGATTGGGATGGGAATACAAGGAGGAAGGGAGCAGCGGAAAGTAGGAGCTGGGCAAGCATGGCATGGCAGGGCAAATACTGGGTGTAGGACCAGAGGTGATCAGCAAGAGGGGAGAGGGGCGGGTTGGTTGGTATTATGCCCTCCCTTTCCACCTTAACCCTTCACTCATCTCCCACTCCCGCTCCTCTTCTGCCTTCTCCCACCCCATTCCCTCAATCCTAGACTTAGCCCTTCACCCCAACTATCCTGCTATTCCTTTCCCTTCCCCTCACTGACTCCCTACTGGGTGCGCTGCTTCAGAGTCTGCTGCTCCACTCCACTCTCCCCAACCCTTTTCCAATCTTCCTCTCTCTCACGACCCCCCATTCCCATCACACCGAGTAACCCCACCAGCTCCCCCCGCGAGCCTGTTCCTCCCCCCTTCCACACCCCCTCTAGTGCGCAGCATCCGCTGCTCTTCACTCCCCTCCCCTGCAGTCAGGGGAGGGGGTGTCAGGTGGGGAGGGATTGAGGACCGGAGGGGAGAGGGGGAAACGAATATGACGGAGGGGAGAAAAGGCGAGGAATGCGGAAGCGACTTGAGGCGGATGGAGGGAGAGTTTGGTGAAAGGAGAAAGGGGCTGGAGGGGGAGCAGAGGTAGCACCATCTCGTCCCACCTCTCCTGCTTTTCCTTCCCCTCCACCGCACTCCTCACTGGGTGCCCTACTTCTGAATTTGCTCCCCTATTTCCCTCAACCCAATCAGGTTGAACCTGATTTTTCAACTCTACGGTCTCCCAACCCCCATTCCCCAAACACACCCACCACCAACACACCCCCCCCTTCTTCAACAGCCTCCTCTCATCCCCTCGCCCACAGCACCCGCTGCAGTCCATTCGGCCGCTCCCCCTGCAGACAGGGAAACTTCAGCGGAAAGGGAGGAGAGCGAAGGGGAATACAGGGAACGTCTGGGATGGGAGAGATGTTTGGGTGATGAGGGATGCGAGTAGTAAATTTCGGCTTCTTGCGAGGAGGCGATTTGGGCGAGGAGGAGACGATAAGTATTATTTAGTAGGGAACATTTGAGTCGACTCAAGTAGTTAGGGCACTTTGAATCTCCTCTTGTTGAGGGAGTTCAAGGCGGCATGTATCGCGGGTGTCACCAAGACCGCTCAAGCGTGGCTCGCGTGATCCCAGGTTACATCGTCTCAACCCTTCGTCGCATCGACAGTAATGCTCGTCCCACGTTACTCGTCGAAAATAGCGCGTCTTTTTCGTCGAATTGACAACGTAACTTAGTCTGAATGTCAGTCTCCTGAAACTCTCGGGAAACCCTAATTTGGTGTGGGTGTGCTGAGATGGGGTTGATTCACACCTGATCTCACAAACGCTGCTTCCTTTTTCGCAGCTGCTCGTTCAACTCCTCGACTGCGAAAGCTGATTCCAGCTCGTAAGCCAGTGGGGAGGAGCTGAACAGACTTCGCGCGTCATTACGAGGGAAAATATTTGGTTACAACAAAGCTAGCTGTTACCCTCATGAACGGCGAACAATTGGGCCGTGTTGGCGGCACGTGATCCCAGGCAGGGGGGTTTGCAGGCACATGGTAATGGTCGCGAGTGTACATCAGTGTCGCAAGGCTCTTCTACATTTTCGTTTCTCGCCAGCTCGTTCGAATCGCATCAACGGAGTGAGCTCGGCAATAATTGTGGTCCTTTCTTGTCAGCTGCGAGTGACGAATCCGAGAACCTGCGACGTCATGAACGTGCAATAGTCGTTCGTTACGGCAGACAGAAATTTCCTCCATGACCCAAGACCTGACGGAACGACATCGTTTCCTCGGCAAATATTGTCGCCGAGTTTCCAAAATCACAGTTCTTGAACTGCGCACGCCTCAGTTTCTAACAGGACATTGTTCCGTCAGCCTCGCCGTCCATTCGCCGTCAGTTTGGGGGCAATAATTGTGGATGTGTACACCTGCAAGACAAACGAAGCACAATGCAACCTTCTGGAGCGCAGCCGGAAACGCATTCACCCAATGGCGGCTCGAAGCCGCTCTCGGGTGTGCAACACCGACTATTCCCGTTCCAGCCTAGCTCGACGCATGGGCTCAGTACTACAAAATCCAGCTATTTCTTTCCTTTCATCACTCAATTCACCTTCAGCTCTTCTAGTTATCGAGTATCATTTTCCCAGCCCGCTTGCTCATTCTAAAGGCGTTACTTCCCTCTCTGAACTACTAAGGGCTCTCTGCAGCCAAGTAACTCAGCGATTTCCGTCCCTCTTACGCAATACTCCGCGATGGCTCTCTTTTCCAAGGTCAGCGGCGTGCTGTGCCTCGTGTTCTTCCTGCTAGCTCTTGCCCTCACTCCCTCCAACGCCATTTCCACTACCTACAGCGAAGGAATCAACTACGGAGGCGGCGCGTGCAATTACGAAGGCAATTTCCGTGACAGCCCGTTTTTCTACAACGGTCTAACCGCGTACGTGCCTCGGAGCAAGTACAACGGCGGCAAGGGCTGCGGCACGTGCTACGAGGTTTCGTGCAAGAACAACCCGAGCTGCAAGAGCGGCAGCGTGACGGTTCGCGCCGTTGGGAAGCAAGGCGACGATTTCCTCCTCTCCTCGACCGCGTGGGACAAAATCGTTCGCGACCGGTCCGCGGGCCGCGTGGAGATTAAGTACCGCAGCGTGGACTGCCCTAAGAGCGCCAACATGGCGGTTAAGATCATGCCCGGGAGCAACGCGTACTGGTTCGCGGCTCAGATTCTGGGCGGCGCGAAGGCCGGCGGGGTGGAGAAGGTGGAGATCTCGAAGGACGGGAGCAGCTGGAAGAGCATGAGCGCGCAGGGAGAGAGCGCCACGTGGATCATGAATCCCGCCAAGGAGATCGTGGATGCGGGGAGGAAGGTGAGCTTGCGCGTGACGGCGGTGGGGGGTGGGTCGCAGGCGGTGCTGACTGATATTATTCCAGCGAAGTGGAGCGCTGGAAAGACATACGAGAGCAGCGGTAACTTTTAAACACAAGGGCGCGTTGCGAGGAGGTGTTGCTGACACGAAAGCGTTGTGTAGCAACGTGGAATAAATGCCAGAGGACCAATCATGATGAGATTGAGTCGTTGGCGTACTGGTTGGCATCTGCCCCGCACTGAATAAATGCTTGTCTGGCATGCAGTACTCTTGGTTGATGTCCAACTTATCATATCCACAATACACACAGTCACCTACACCCTGATTTACTTTAGGGTTGTCTGTGCAAGAGCTGCAGTTTGTGCAAGCGCTGATGTTGCTCGCGTTTCTGTCAAATGCTCTTGAGGCCATCCATTCTGCTGTTATTGGCTCTCCCGCTCAAAATTGACAAATGCTGGTCAGCCAATCAGTGCAGCGCGAAACTAACACCTGAGAGGAAAACGACGAGGGGTGGAGGGGGGAAGGGGGCACAGAGAGCTGTTAGACATAACAGAGATTTGAATGTGATAGGACAGCAGGCAACTTGAAGAAAGAAAGAGATAGGAAAGAAAACAAGAGGGGGGGAATATATAAAGGACGATGGAAGGAGGCAGATAAAGGGAATAAATAGAGTGAACAAAGACAATGGAGATAGCGCACGGGGAGAGAAGCAGGGAGAGAGAGTGAGACGAGGAGAGAGAGATGCAGTGTAACGTACCTGAGATGTGAACGTGCAATTCCGTTGCGCCCCTCTAGTAACCTCGTTTTGACCCAGTGGGTAGCGAGGCGTTATACTGGTATCAGAGCCTAGGGTTTGAATCCCAGCTGGTCACATTTTCCGCCCTCGGCGAGAACTTGAATGTGTAGCCAGGGGCGAACCCAGCGAACGATCCTGGTAACCGCTGTGCATCACCAGCGAAGTCGCTGACTTGGACCACCAGCGAAACTCGAGGTCCTTGCGGGGGCCGACTCCCTAAGCCAACGAGGACGTTGGCGCCAGGGGGGGACGAGTGTAACGTACCTGAGATGTGAACGTGCAATTCCGCTGCGCCCATATGGTAACCTCATTTTGACCCAGTGGGTAGCGAGGCGTTATATGCGGGGAGAGGGAGAGACGTAGAGGGAGGAAGGTGGGGGGAGAGAAGCTGGGAGAGAGAGAAGCAGGAAGGGGAGAGACGCGAAGCGAGGGCGGAGAGCAGGAGAGACGTGGAGAGTGTCGTGCGGGAGAGAGGAGAGCGTGAAAGTCGGACATGGAGTGAGAGGCTTAGTAAACGGCAATGTAGGCGGACAGAAAAGCGCTCACTAGGTTGTGACGCTCGACAATCGCATATCGCTCGCACGCGCGTAGTAGTAACACGTCACTTCGTCGTACTGAAATAACACGGTGGCGTAGGCTCCACTAAACGCTTGTCGGCCAAACCTAACGGGTTTCGGCGACAACTAAACGCAGACTTAGGTCGCCTTCAGAAGTTGGACGACAACCGAAGTTTGGACAAGAGAGGAACTTTCCTTTCTCTCGGGATGACAGTCTAAATGGCCGGTATACTCGTTTTTTTTTTTTTAAGATCGAATAATCCTACATTCCCCAATCCAAGGCAGTTTATAGGGACTTGACTACTCAGCTATTTTTTTCGCTAAAACACACTCCTGCAGTGCACATTTAGGTGGAGATCTGGGCCTCGGCAAAGGGTAAACTGGAAACAAACCTAGGGTCTGCTGTTTTCAGGGTAAATAGGTGTACAGATTGAGAAACCAACTTTCTGGTCCAAACTTAGGTTGTCGTCCAAATTTCTGCAGGCGATCTTAGTCTCAACTATATTTGTCGCCAGCCTTCAAGCTCTCGGTGAAATCCTAATTTCAGATCCATTCGAGAATTGGCGCGAAATGGGCTCGAGTTACAAATGTTTCTCTTGCCCCCACATCTCGTCGTGAGCGTTTCGTAAGGGTTACATCGAGAGCCGGCGAAATGGAGAATTGGCCTTCATCGCAAACTCATCTGGATTTCAGTCCTTCAAAATTACAGTAGCACGGCGAGACACTGTATGCTTCACATCGGCTACGTAACACCAATTCTTCTCCTCGCCAGCAAGTTTCGTTACAATAATGGTATGTCCTTATCACAGGTTTTTGTTAGTAAGGCGTACACTGCTATAACGGGGTTGCCGTGCAGCTCTGCATTTTGCCCGCCTTGCTGTTTCATGCCTAGATTTGGGCGCTTTGTGCCAATTACAAACCACATGTCTCAGCTCTGCTGAGCCTTGACTGTATGCTCCAAGCCTAACTATATCCATACTCCCTGTTGTCCCATTATATTGTTTCCTCGATACTCAATTATTTCACACACGCTCTTTGCGCTTCATTACACCTGGCCATCATGTAAAGGTGAACCACGTATTTAGGGAGGCCAATATCTAGAGTTGGTGGAACCACGAGTTGGTGGAAGACTTTACACATTGTATTGGAAATGTTTGAAACGACAATGATAAGAATAATGAGTAATACTGACATATTTATAGTCTAGGAAGTGCCTATTCGGATGTACTTGTTCGTAGTGTATCGCGATTATTCGCGTGACATAAGTAGTGCGATCGGCTGGAATATGATGAAATGGAGTGGTGAGTCTGTACATTTCAAGATTGTGGGGCAGCTGCACGAAGTTGAGGGAAATCAGGACCTTGTGAAGATGCTGCTGCCACAGACGAGCAGCTTGTTTGATGCCGTAGAGAGACTTTAGTAATTTGCATGTGTGAAGTCCGTCACCGTAAGTGTGAGGGAGCTCGACGAAAATATCTGCATCGACATCTGCATAAAAAGGCACATTTTAAATGTCCAGTTGGTGAAGTGGAAGGTGGTGGCTGGTAGCAATGGCGACAAGAATTTGCACTCAAGTATGACGGCTGACCGGAGCAAAAGTATGGTCGTAATCAATGCCGTGGGTTTGTTCGAAACCTCGAACGACCCATATCCCCTTAAATCCGTCTGGTTTGCTTGACGCATTTGTCTTTATGCGAAAGATCCATTTGCCGGATATAATTTTCTTGCCGCGTGCTGCTTCGCGTGAAACGAGTTTCCACGTTTTCCGCTTCTCGAGAGCTGCTACCTATGCATTCATAGCTGCTTGCCACTTGTCAGCATCAGCGCCGGAGACGGCTTGTTTGACTGTTTTCGCATCGATCCCAGTCGTTGGTTGCTGAACTGCAACAGCAAGGCCAAAGATTTGCAGAGCCGATTGGTCACCAAGAGGATGATGTTGGCAAACTTCGACGACATCATCATCATCAATTTCGGATGGCAGATGGCAAGCACCGTCATGTGATTCTGCGCCAGTTTTCTGTCGGCGCAGATGCTCCTCATAATTTTAGGCAGCCTGTGTCGTGGCAGGGCGCAACGGGTCCGAGAGTGGAATGAAGAGCGAGGTTTCGGTGTTCTTGGCACGTGTCATAAGAATATAGGAGTCGAACAATTGTTCGGCTGCTGATATAGGCTGTTGCGAAACTGCAGAAGGTCCTGCTGCTGCGCTGTCGAGCGGATAATATTATTCGGCTGCATCTGCTTCGTCTTGAGGGGTGGCGAAACTTCGTTGGACACTGTAGCCATCAGGATCCTGCTACTGGCGATCCTTTTTGCGTTCGAAGTCATCGAGAAAAGGTTTCGCGTAGAAGATGCAGTCTCGAGCATACAAAACCTGATCATCAGATGTGTGGATTTTCCTTTCCTGATTTTCCAGACGAAATGATTACCGATTTCTGAAAATTCAGATGAAACCTTGTAAATTTTATGATCGTCACACTCCAGTTTAGCTGCGGTAATGTCACATGCGACAGGGGGAAACAAAAATTCCCAAGTTGAATTTCTGAATGCCCGAGGGTCATTACGCGGACGTTCGAGTGAAACGTGTGGCGAGAAAAAACACGAATTTGCTCGTGCTGGGCGAAATCAGGACACGGGCGGGCCGAGGTTGGGGAAGAATCGGAAGATTTAAGGGGCGGGAAAACTGAGATTGCAGGGTGGGTGGGTGGGGGGGGGGGGGAGATCGAGCTGGGGGTGGTGGGGAGATTTGACATAGCAGCGGCGGGGAAGGGGAATCCTGCCCTCCGAAGTACAAGTTGTGGGGGGTTGGGGTGGGTGCGTGCGGGGGGGTGGGGGGGGGGGGGGGGGGGGGGGAGGTTTTGGGCTGTTGTGGTTACGAGGACGCCCTCGTACAGCCAACAGCACATCCCTTTGACTTGATTTGCCCTACACGAAGGGCCAATCAGCGCCCTCACACACCCTCCAGCACACATGCCACGGGAATTTGGTGAAGGGCCAATCAGCTCAGTCACTCGCCCTCCAGCACACATCACACATGGCACGGGAATTTGGTGAAGGGCCAATCAGACCAGTCACTCGCCCTCCAGCGCACATGGCATGGTAATTTGGTGAAGGGCCAATAAGGCCCCTCACACAACCTAGAACACGAAGCAAGCATGAATTTTGGTGCAAGGGAGAATTAGCCCCTCACACAGCCTAGACGGGGGCCGTATACAGCAACTGCTCGCAGACGAGCAGAATCGCTAAGTCTGAAACGTCAGAAGAACAAGTACATAGTTCCTGAAAAATCAGAAGTACTATCATTCAATTTCTAACGCATCAGAATTTCTATTTTTGGGCGCCTGAAAAATCAGAAGAAACCGAAAAATCGTCTGAAAATATGACAAACAGACGGATTTTGTGTGCTAAGGAGGACCCCGCTCTCGACCTCCTAAAACCCCTCGCCATTTCATGGCGTCCTAGTTCCTAGATTGACATGGTTTCGGAGCAGGACGCCCGTCCTGGGCCTGCTCCCCTCCTCGCTTCCGCTCCGTTCTCGTTCCCTGTTCGCCGCCGTCGCGACCTTCCTACTGCCTGCCGCCGTGGCACCTTTTCCAAGATGCCGCGGCGGCCTTTGTGTGCTATCGTCCCAGCGTCGACGAGCAGCCGCGGCTCCGACGCCACGCTGTGGTGGAGTCGTCGTGGTGCCGCGGCCGTGACGTCGGCCTGTTGCCGTCGCGCACCCGCCCTTGAATCTCTCTCTTTTCCTTTCTAGTTCTCTTTTTCTCTCGTTAACTACTCCTCCTAGCTCTCGACCTCCTAAAACCCCTCGCCATTTCATGGCGTCCTAGTTCCTAGCTTGACACCGTATTTCTGTTGTTTCTAGTGTGTGTATTTGTTTTGTTTTCTCTCTTTTGTTGTTGTTGTAGTTATTATTATTATTATTATTATTATTATTATTATTATTATTATTAGTATTATTATAATTATTATTATTACTATTCCTATTACCATTATTATTATTATTATTATTACCACTACTGTTGCTATTATTTTTGTTATATATTTCTTCTATTCTTCTATCTTTCTATCCATTATTATTATACTATTATTGTTAGACTTAACAAACCTTTTTATCGTGCAAGACAAAAATCCATGCTATTCTATTTGATATGTCGGCGATACTCATACCGACATAAAAATAGAAGAATAACATAGAGATTTGGGCCAACTATCTAAGCTACATATGAATGATGAGAGTCTCGGATCATTCGCCGTCAAAAATTACGGCGGAGAATGATAGAGATACTACATTACAACAGCATGCAATACATTGTGGCAAACAAATATTACGAAACAGTAGCGAATGCAACGAAGCAGACACATGAATGCTTTCGTGCTATGATGGTGATTGACATGCACGTTATGAGAAGAAAGGCCCTCAAACCGACAACGACAATCGCTAATTGTATACCGTACTAGGCATAGTTAGCATTGTAACTGAGTAAAGAATAAGGATATCGGAGTAAGATTGAAAATAATAACTTACAAAGAAACTTCGCCCCAATCCTCACAAACACGTGCACTGTTGCTCAAGTTCGGCGCAATGCGAGCGATTGCATCATCGTCCGTGATTTCAAGGACTTGGGATATGAAGGTCACAACAACGAGTAGAAATATATACATTACGTAAATGGAGATAAAATTGTAAAGCAAGTCAATAGTGAACACATATAAACAATGCAGGTCAGAGAAAATATAAAGCATGGGATAATAAGGAGATTAGTTTAGTGACGAGACACTTGGCATTGTTAACGGACCTTGGTGACGTCATAACTTGGCGGTTCGATATGTAGATTCCCGTAATCCATACAAATACACGAATGAGCTGGTAGTGAATTCCCTTCTCAAGCGCATGCCTTTGCACAATCTAGTTCAATGCAATGGCTGTTTTACCCAATGAAGTGTACCCGAATGAACCACTATGGTCCTGAATTTCGTAGATCGCACGCTCCCTGGTGCTCGGGAAAAATACACGCATGGTAAGCTCCACCTGGAACGAAGCGGGCTATGGACATTAAAATAGTGAGTGCCATACAAATGTAAGAAGGGTTGAACACGGTTTTATTACGTACGTAGATAGTGCTAAAATCAATGCTATTGGTTGCGAAGTGACACAGCAATGACGAAATCTATACTCGTAACAATAACACAATACACATTGATATCTGCAGAAGCCAAAGCAGTCAGTGGGGTTGGAACGAATGTGATCTAGTGAATGGGATGATCCGGTTTGGTTATGAAAAGGTACAATTACGGCAATAATGAATTCTCTACTCTTTACGATAAAAAGCATACCTGTTTCTGTCCACCAGGAACCAAAGCAAACAGCGGGGTCAGGACGAATGTGTTCTAGTTAATGGCGTGATCCGGGTCAGTCAATATCGTTCGTGAGACGCGATGGACCCATACAAGTTGTCCCTCAGAGCCTCTCATGCTGTACCTGTTATATGTATTTGCCAACGCACCATATGCGGAAAATAAGGGAAAACAACGCATGCAACAATTCGATTTAGCACATTTGTATGCGCACCTAATAACATGATACATTCGCTACGTTATTGCGGACAAGCATAGAGATGTTATAATACGAAGTTCGAAGTATGATAACATATGAATGGCACGATAACGAGTATGAGAAGGATAATATATGTACACTTTAATATCCAATATGCAAGTATATTATTGGAAAAGAGCATGCTACGTAGACTTACAAACTTCACAAGAACAATACGTACTTCATGTCTTTGATTTTGGAGGAACCGACTTGGAGGAAGTCATACGTCTTTCCCAAAGTGAACTCCTTGGCGGTACTAGAGCATTTTCTGTGCTCCAGACTGGCTTTCCCCATAGAAGCAGCTCCATTACATCGCCATCTTGTAGCTCCTTATCAATGTGGTTGTGTACTTCGACGACCATTCCACGGACCATAAACTCATCTGCCGGATGCTTTTTTATGAGAGCATTAAGGTCGGCAAAAAGTATAATGCAAGGATTCTGCATTTTGCACATAGGAAATTGAGTGTTTGGGTGTTTGCATATAGGAGATTGAGGCACGCATGCATGCCAATACTTAGGGGAAAATAGTTGGATGAACAAAAGAAATATCGAATATCTAGTATATACCTCAGACGCCAGACAGTATGGCCACGGAAGAGGATCTGCATAATCAATGGTAATGTAGGCAGTAAATGAAGCCATGGAGAATGGCGTGTTACTTAATTATAACATAGACAAGAAAGTGATCGCTGTAATAGGTCTCACCGACGAATACATCGACGCTATATTTAGATTGGTTAATCCAAACATGGTCTATACACGTTCCTCGTATGGTCGTGGAAGATTTAACATACTGAGACAATGATGAAGAAGCCATGAACTCGTTTAACCCTCGCGGTATGTATTTCTTTGTATCAAAATTGAGGTCACCAATTAAAACGACTTCGCCATACAGAATATTGTCTACAATGCGCCGCAAAAATCGATGGGACCTAGAAGAGGGTGATTGTGGATTACGATACACACATAAAACGTATGTATCAGGCAAACAACTATAACATAGCACAACAATTTGAATTTTCTCACAGTCCTCCTCATGTATTACAGAGACACATGATTTATGCGCAATCTGGATACCCCCAAAATCACGATCTTGTCGATATATGCTGAACCCATATTCATTGGGCCGAGTAATGTCAGATACCGCTAAATGCGTCTCGAGTAATAAGACAAATTCAAACAGACGAATAGATGGTCCACCAAGAATGGCATCCATATCCTTTAGTTTCCGCACATTTTGAAAGCAAAACATTGCTTTGCAAGGAATCAATGTGATATTATGTATTGGGACCGGAGAAATCGTAAGCTTAAAACAAGACTTTCCATTTCTTTAACGACTTCACCATCAATACGAATGGTTTGCTAAGAAAAACCATTGAAATACAAAGCACGGTGTGACCTGAACCGGCTCAAAGCCACATACGCTGCATGATAAAAATCAGGCCCCTCAAAATGAACGACACCTGATTCGAACGTTGATCCTTGGCTGCGATGTATACTTATAGCCGCACTAGGGCAAAAGGGGAATTGTAGCCTTGAAATCTCTTCGCACATTCGGTTAATAGAGAATTTTCGCTCGACACGAACGATGGGGGTTAACAAATGATTGTTTATTGCCGATGTAGTAAACATGCTTCTACAATTGATACGCACCTTTCGCACCAACCCGAACGTTGTCAAATAGCACCCAGATGATAGAGACCTCATTTGCTTCATCCATAGAAAAACAGTGTATTGTGCCGGACGTACCGTTTGCAAGGTCGTCGGTGGTATCAACATTTAAGACAATATGAATTTTGCATCCAACATACAGGAATAAGGTTGCATAAAGACCTGCAGTTTTTTTCGGATCCTTTGGTGCGCTCGCTGAGGGTCGCTTACATCAAGTGGAACGTTTGTCAAATAAATGTAAGTTGTATGCTTGTATGATATGCTTCTCGTTGTGCATTAGCTCAAACTTTCTATTGTTGAATTCGTTTATATATGCGCTTCTACCAAAAATATTTTGGACACATAATTTTGGGAAAGTACATCCGCGGTCAGTATTAGGGTCCCTGCTATTACGTACGGTCAGTGGAACACTATAGACAATCAGAATTAGTGAGTTCTTTACACGGCTAGTCAGTCGGGCTCCACGGTTAGTCAGTGACTGCTGGTAAACATTTGTACGAATGGTCAGTAGACGTAACCCCCGCCCATTTTGGGCACTTTTCCCGCTCGCGGCAGCCCAACAACTAAACGACTGTAATAATTGCGGGGTCGAGATTTTTTTTGCGCCAGCCAGGCGCTGCACATTTCGCCTTTACTCCAACCCTCGGCACTCTACATTTCGCCCTCGCTCCAATGCTTGGCACAGTACATTTCGCCCTCACTCCAATGCTTGGTACTGTACATTTCGCCCTCGCTCCAACCATCGGTACTGTACATTTCGCCCTCACTCCAACACTTGGTACATAACATTTGGAGCGAGGGCGAATGTACAGTACCGATGGTTGGAGCGAGGGCGAAATGTACAGTACCAAGCATTGGAGTGAGGGCGAAATGTACAGTGCCAAGCGTTGGAGCGATGGCGAAATGTACAGTGCCGAGGGTTGGAGTAAAGGCGAAATGTGCAGCGCCTGGCTGGCGCAAAAAAAATCTCGACCCCGCAATTATTACAGTCGTTTAGTTTTTGGGCTGCCGCGAGCGGGAAAAGTGCCCAAAATGGGCGGGGGTTACGTCTACTGACCATTCGTACAAATGTTTACCAGCAGTCACTGACTAAACGTGGAACCTGAATGACTAGCCATGTGAAGAACTCACTAATTTTGATTGTCTATAGTGTTCCACTGACCGGACGTAATAGCTGGGACCCTAATACTGACCGCGGATGTATTTTCCCCTTAATTTTTGCTCACCATAAGTATTAAACGATAAGAAGAAATCGACATCCTCTCTAGAGTGTTTTCCCTCTCGCAATCGGTTTAAGCGTGCGGCAAACTCGGTCTCATCTTTTTGACGCATTATAGTTGTCAACTCAACCATTGAGAGTAGCTCCTATACGTTATCTTCAACCATTGTATTCAATGATTTTGTCTTTGCAAAACAGTATCTATCGGCTACCGGTGGTAACTGAAAAAAGTCTCCTACAAATATGACATGTAATTCTCCAAACGGGATGTGTTGTTTTCCTCGTAACTCCCTTAGCCGCCAATCCAACCATCGAAATGTGTGCTCGCCAAGCATTGAAACTTCATCAACTATAACAACCTTCACGTCACATAAATTGGGCCGTAGGGTGTTCACTCGTTCTCATGATAGATTTGACATTGTTCTATTTTGCATAATTGGAATCATTAAAGCGTTATGAATAGTGTACCAAGTTATGTTAAAAGCAGCAACTCCGGATGGCGCCAATTTTAACACTTTGAGAGATGTAGGGTCAGAATGAATCGTTGCGTTAAACATCTGTGTAATCCTTTCCGTGAAAGCTCGAATGAGGACCGATTTCCCCACCCCAGCTCCACCAGATATCTATAGACGAAGCGGTGTATAACTTGTTCATATGTGATGCACGACATGATCACTAATTGCGCATTTAATATCTTCTCCAGGAGCATATATTCCGAACTGTCAACGTTGATATGCTTGAACAAATCAGTGCCCCTTTTAACAACATCTTGCGTATCCAACTCGTTTGCAAGATCGATATGGTCAACTATATCATTTGAATCTTGTGTTTCAATTGATATGCGATCATCGTTGGCTTGTTCGGCTTCTTTGAATGTGTCAGCCCATGTATCTAACTCTTTCGTGAACTCTTGTTCCTTCGTGATAATATCTCGCTCAAATCTGTGATATGTATTAGACCATTCAGCATGGTCGATTGGCTCCTCTCGAAAATGATGAAACAGTAAAACCCTCTCTCGAACATAATTGTCATAATTCTGATTCTTATGATAATTCACAAATATGAGATTTTTTTTTGTAACAAAAAATTTACAGATTGTGATTCGACTAGAAGAGGAGTTTGCTGTAAAGGAGACAAACTCCTTCATCTATCGGCAGGTCTTTCAGACCTGCCACCTAGTCTCATTTGCATTTTTCTGTTCCAACTTGTATACCACCAGTACACTCTAATCCTCTCCCTATGCCCAGATCTGGGCATAGGAGTCTCTTGCTGCAAGACGTCCTTTCTGTTAGATATTCTACAATGGTTAGCGGACTTATTTCCGCTGCAAGTGGCGGCCTCC